TTCATTACATCGCAGGTTGAAGGATGTGGACAGCAAAGTGTATTGATGATGTTACAAGGTCACATGCACGACATTCTTGAAAGGTATCTGTAAGGGACATTCCAAGTACCGTCCACATTTATTATGTTATCAAATGTGCTAGTTATATTTTAGTTGCAGCGCCTATTTGTTAATTAATGAGAAATTGTCATTCGTCTGTATCGTTACGCACACATCATCAAGTCACAAGAGATTTTAGCGGCGTTCGTTCTGCTAAAACCAAGTACTGGTTATTAGTTAGTAAAGTCCTATTAAACATCTATTCAAGTCCTTTCAGGTGATAAAATTGCTATTTTTTTAAAATGGTTTTATTAAACTCCATTTAGTAGATATATCCCCAAATAATGCATGTATTTTTTACTCCAGATTTTCTCTGTGGCCATATGAAAATACCGCTTAGCCAAGCTGCAGACCAGCTGTCTGCAGCCTTTGCAAGCCCTCCCCCTCATCCTAGGCATAGTATTTTAGTCTGTGCCGGGAAATACACCAATCAGAAGCTTCTCACTGAGCAGGCTTGTGCTGGAGCTGATCATGGCTTTCCAATTCTTCTCAATGAGATGTTATATGGCTCATTGAAAAGGGGAAGGCAGTGCGCTCCATCTTAGTGTTACTGCCCCCAATTATAAAAGTGCCCATTTCTAATGAAGCGTCGATTTATCATTTATCATTGGATAAGCTCTTCAAATTATTTAACATTATTGGATACATTTTTCATAATATCATACCAAATGAGAGTGCGTCCAAAAATATCAAATCAGGGGGTGAAATTATCACTTTTATAAACACTCACAAATGTGACACATGACGCACTTCAGTAAGCTAGAGTGTCCCTTTAAACTGTTGAGCCCCTTTTTCATTGAACCCGGTTATGGTCTCTTTGTTGCCCGAAAGTATCAGAAACGTGGGATTGTGATCACGTGGACATTGTTACCAGATCTTCGCCCACTGATAATGAGTCGAGAAATATTGATTGATTTTTTCGTTAGTGGAAAGGATTTAAATATACTCTGACTTATTATGAGAGATTACCTCCAGCTCCTCAAATGAATGTAAAATATGAAAAGGTCGTATCTGTGTTGGCTTCACCAGAATAGTAGAAAATATTTTTTTGTTGGGGACTTTTTGGAGCCTCTGTCAATATCTATGATGTTGGGCTGTAATGAAAAAAAATCCCTAAACAATCGTTTTTGTTTTTTCAATATATCAAAATGTATTGTCCCACATATCTGTCGAACTTTACACATATTTCCGCAAGATACGAACGGTGATAATGTGACTGGTATTCAAGTCAGGGACTTTCCACTGAAGAGGTTTAACTGAGATTGAAACATGGATTCTATTTGTGTCTTCACAGTACTGCCAACACGATGTTTGAAATTGAATGGCGAGGCAGGAAAGTTGCTCTGAAAGCCAGCAATGGAAAGTACATCTGTACAAAGAAGAACGGGCAACTGGCAGCAGTCAGCGACTCAGTTGGTGAGTCAAAATGCAAGGAGTACCATGACTATGTGTGATGTGCCAGCACTGTTGGACAGCAATGGCTACTGGCTCATGCCAACCACTTGCTATGCTTGCTTGGTGCTCATCACAAAATATCAGCCGAGACTGGTGATCTTCTATGGCCATCACAGAATACCAGCCGTGACTGGTGATCCTCTGTGCCCATCACAGAATACCAGCCATGACTGGTGATCCTCCATGCCCATCACAAAATACCAGCCGTGACTGGTGATCCTCCATGCCCATCACAAAATACCAGCCATGACTGGTGATCCTCCATGCCCATCACAGAATACCAGCCGTGACTGGTGATCCTCTATGCCCATCACAGAATACCAGCCGTGACTGGTGATCCTCCATGCCCATCACAGAATACCAGCCGTGACTGGTGATCCTCTATGCCCATCACAGAATACCAGCCGTGACTGGTGATCCTCCATGCCCATCACAGAATACCAGCCATGACTGGTGATCCTCCATGCCCATCACAGAATACCAGCCGTGACTGGTGATCCTCAATGCTAGTCCCATTACACCAGCAACTTACCCTCGCTAGATGTTCCTCTCATAGAATGTCAGCCATTTCCAGTTCCTGTTTGGTACATTTCTGCAGAATCTAAAAATAATGTTACCCACCTGCTCACCCGCACAAAGCTTACTCTAGCCATTTCCTAGTAAAACCCTATAGATTAACTTAATTGTATAAACTTCACCCATATATACATAGAAGTAGAGGACCACTCTACTTAATGTCACACAATGTAGCTTCAGCAAACACGAGTCTGTTCAGATTTTGTACATGTAAATAAGGGAAGCAGGTGGCACGATTGTACACAAAGGACGAATAGTAAACAGAGCCAGGAAACTGTACACAATATCTCCTATTTACTACCGTGCTGGTAAAAGGACAATAACTCCAGCAACACAAAGGACAGAGAGCCATTTACATATTCTGTTATTGTTGGTTTTTTAATAATGATATTAAAGGGACAGTGTAAATAACATAAAAACTGCAGCTCAACTATTCCAACTCGATATAGAATGTCCAGTCTATCTGCGCCATTCCTTGGGTTTTTTGTTAAACCAATTTGGAGAAGTTTGATAAAAGCCAGGCTTTCCGTGGCACCCAGAGACCATCCCATCCACAGCTGCATTGATAATGCAGAATTTACATTTATCAATATCAATCAATACCAACTGGGATAACTACCCAGGGCTGCGAGCACAAGGATTTAGTTACCCAGAGCTCTCTGCCCGTGATATAAATTCTGCATTATTAAATCGGCTTGGAGAGGGTCTGTCTCTGAGTGCCTGTAAGAGTCCGGGAGTCCCCAGAGTCTTAGGGTGAAACCCAGACAGTACTCTATGCCAACAAGTCTTCACCAATGACTCCCTTCTGTAAGTACATGTCAAGTACTCGACTGGTCTCCACATTGCAGTAAGATAAAGAATTATCCAAAACAGATTTACACAAACGAAAGAACTAGAGACGTGGTAAAAACAACAATATATCTAATAATATAAAGGTGTGAGTTCAGCCTTTACTGTGATTGAGATATTACCAGAGTGAATTGTTTTCTGTTTTATCTTATTTTAAAGGTGAAGATGAGGAATTTATACTAAAGCTGATTAACAGACCAATTCTGGTCCTGCGTGGAGATCTGGGCTTCGTCTGCTACCATAAAACATCAAACACGCTCGATGCAAACCGTTCCTCCTACGATGTTTTCCAGATCATCTTTAACAATGGCGCCTACCAAATTAAAGGTCAGGTACAAACACAACGCCCGAGGGGTAACAACCAACTCAAACATCAGATTGGGGCCACGTGGACGACAACCTTGGCCATTTGCTTTCATTTTACCCTTTAGGTTCTGGGTTGCCCGGACCAGGCAGTCCAAGACTTACAGCACTGAATGTATATTTATAGACAGGGCACATCTTCATCCTGTCTTTAAGCCCGCCTATGTTTAATTTTTGGGTGAGGCCTTTTCAGTGTGTATGTAGAATTCATTTCTCTATAGACATTATAGATACAGTAGGCTAATAATTGGTACAGGAAAAACATGATCCAGCATGCCTGAATGGAATTATGAATCACTGGCTTTCGCAATGTAGGGTGAGCTACGAAAAATAAATATATTAAGAAGTGCTGAAGAGATTAGAATAGCAGGCTTCCCGCAACACATGGCAACCTTGAATTCAATAAAACAACAGTCCAGAAAAACAAATTAGATATTTATGTCGACTGACACCAATATGAAACAAAAGGAATCTAACACAGTCACAGAACACATGCCATTATACATGCGTTATCAATAAATGGTACTGCAACACTGTGTACTTTTTATCTTAATTAATATAATGTTCTTTGCTGTTTCCTCAGGCCAGGCCGGCAAGTTCTGGTACATCTCCAGTAATGGTACTATTTGCAGCGACGGAGACATGTCGGAGGACTTCTTCTTTGAGTTTCGAGAACATAACCGTCTGGCCATCAAGGGCAAGAATGGCAAATACCTGCGTGGGGACCAGGCGGGCACGCTAAAGGCAGATGCAGAATCGGTTAATACAGCTACCCTATGGGAGTACTGAGGGACACAGAGCGCCACTTAGGACATTAGATGAGCGGCCTGGTGACCTGGGTCACAGAAGGACAGAATAAATAGGGTCGAGGTCCAAACTAGGACCATTATTAGAGACTGGAAAAGAGAGAATGTTGACCCTGAGACTTTAAATATTATAGTGGTCCACAGTTTTGATTAGATTGTTGTAAAGCTATAGAGGCACAATGACTCTCTACAAACACTTTAGAATCCGGGGAGATGCATGTAATTACCTACCAAAGAGTCTAATATTTCTATTATAGAGTAAGATATGTATATTATAAAATTTGTATATTTGTCCTCTGTGTGTACAGTGTGCTACACGCAGGTACAATCAGTTATACTCTGAGGGTGGAATTAGAAATGTAATACTATTACCGTATGATTGAACTATATATACTCTATTATGTTACATGTTCCATAGTTGGACACTGCAGTCATACGAGCAGTTAATAATTCCAGGATAGGTCTAAAAACAAATCAAATAAGTATTTCAATAAATGGACTGAGCTCCACCCCGTTACTGACCAAGAGGTACGACCAGCTGAAATCTAACACACCTCCTTGGCTGGAAAAGGGGCGACTGATTCACATATATCTAGTTTAATAAAGATTTATTTGGCGACAAATTAACTCTGTGTTGATGTAAGCGGCCTTCTTGGGATGTAGGAAGATCACTTAAAAATAGAGACTGAATGAATGGAAGCATCTCCTGCGTGGCAATCTGCCAAGAGAAACTCATATCTGGAAACGCTCTGGTTTTGCCCCAAACTATGGATTTTACAGTTGATTGAAGGGTCCCCAGGACACGACCTGAGTTTGTGCACATGGCAGCCATACTTGGTAACATTAATAGGAAACGGGTCCATAGCTCTTCCACTGCCTTTTAAGGCAGGAAAGGTTGTTTCCAGACCCGAATGTAGGTAAGGCTGAGTTTGATGGGGTGGGTAGTTCACAAAAATCTGCAGAATCAAACTACAAGTGGTGTGCGCCATCATAGCAACCTAGCTGTGAGAGGCAATGTCTGCCAAGTAGCGCTCTAGAGAGCTGCTTATGGCAAACAAACAGAACATTCTGTAAATAAACAGAACATTCCATTAATAAACAGAACATTCCATTAATAAACAGAACATTCCATTAATAAACAGAACATTCCATTAATAAACAGAACATTCCATATATAAAGAGATTTCCATAAATAAATAAACAGAACACTCCACATATAAACAGCATTCCACAAATATATCAGGTTTTTAAGGATCAGACGGTAATAATGCCAACACTGACATTAACATTATCTGGAAAAATGCTCAAACATTTACAAATATTGAGAAAAAAAAAGTTTTTAAGTGTTAACTTCCTTTTAAGTGACAGTTTCCAGCCCTTCCCTTGTAAATACCAAGTAGGAAATAGTACTTTATTCCCGAGAGGAAGACCCAGACTTCCTGTAGTAATAGCTAAAAAAGGTGCTGATTCTGATTCTAGCCAATCCCCGCTCACACAATATTCACATTTCAAGCTTTCTCTGTATGGAAATCCTTAGCTGGACCTGCCTGAATGGAGCTGAGTCACTCACTGACTCAGAGGCGAATAACCATGTTATTTTATGGTTTGACAGAGAGATGTATGAGAGATCCGAATTGCAAAATCCAACCGCTGCCACCATGGGGATTACTTGCTTCATAGTGAGCCGAGAGACTCACATCTCTGGTTTAAAAACCAGGCAAACTGGAAAAAAACACAAATCTGGCCTAATCAGAGATTTCCTACACCTCAGTTATTTTCTTGCTCAGCTATTGCACAAACATACACAGTAGCGCTGTACAGGATTATTGTTTTATTCAGAGACAAAATGTGCTGATGGCTTGCTTACATTGAAACATTGAGAACGACATGGTCACAGTTATAGTGTATTTATCTGTGTCTGGTCACGCCGAGCTGCATTAAAACACAGGATTCTATTATTTGGACTCAGAAAATGGAAACATTCTAACAGCGGCATTCCACGTACATTCCTTACTTCTGAAGGGTAACAAGGGTGCCAGCTCTCTGATAGCACTAAATATCTGACCCAGAGAAATTGGGATATATTGATTTTTGCACAGCAAATCACAAGAATGCATAAACTAATACTATTTATATATACACACACATAACTGAGACCAGGCCAAGGCTGAAAGACATCGACAAAAGAATTCTGTCCAAATATGGTATCACAGCTGGAAATGGGCCAATCGCGAGGCTGCCATCATTGAATTACTATCAAACACAGAGGGCGGAGAGACCTTGACAATCTGTCTGTGCTTAGAATGTGTATAGTATTATAGAGCTCTCTATATAAAGGGCAGACTACGGATAGTGTGCTATATCCATACAAAGGACTAACGTTAGCAGGACTAGCTTCCACCGAACTGGAACTTGCTGGCTAATTATTAAGTTAGCGCCACGTACAATGATATGGATTGGCATGTAATAACGCATAAAGCCATGTATTAAAGGGAAACTGTCACAATTCTGGAAATGACACCATTACATAAAGTATTCAAGATCACCTATAACTGGTGTTACCCTTTTCTGCATGTGATTCTTGTTTTTTCTTTTAAATGTATATTAAAGTCTTAGCTAATGAAATAATCCCAGTCCGGTTCAGTCCTGGCACAGCCAAGGCACAGGTTGCATTGGCGGAGGAGAAATAGACACATTGTTGCTGTTTCTCAAGCTCTATGCTGACTGCCAGGTGCAAAGGGCGGAGCTTATAATAATGATTGTCAGGTTGCTAAGATGGAGGCGCCCAGTTCTAAATACAGTGCTTTGGACTGTTACATTCTATTGTATTTTTCATATATTACCAACATATAAATATAGTACAGACAAAATGGCATCTATGTAATAGTAAAAGAGTTACACAGACAAACTGATAAATTGGAGCACCCCAAAGAGCTCTGTATAACCTCTACAGTTACTCCAACAAGTTTCAGGCTCAAAGCTTTGAAAATGACCTCCAAAGTGGAAGTTAGGTTCTAGAACGCCATGACTCCTTGGTAAAGTAGATATTTGGACACCATTAGTAAGCCTTCACCAGAAAGAAGACTATCAATGCTTTTAAAGAGGTAGTCCCTGCATTCCGAGGGAATATCAGTTAAACTCAGCTCTACTCCCATCTATAGAAGGAATACCTTACCTACATGTGTGTGCTAAATGATTAATATACACCCGGCTCTCATTGTGGCAGACCGAAGGCTGCACTATATGCTTCTCATTGACTGTTACAATGTATTCTCTCTCTAACACACAGTAACTTTGCGGCTGGAAGGCCAGTTTCAGTGATGGACCAGTGTCTGCTTTTACAAAATGTAGGGAGACTCGGCCCCTTTGTGTTAGAGATCTGGATCCTCCTACAGTACACAAACTCCTTCCTAAAATGGAAGTCCCTTTATTGCTGTTGTAGAGTTCTAGAAGGAAGGGCCGAGAGTTATTCTTGGGTTTTTTAAATACTTTAACTGTTTCTAAGCAATGCATTGGTCCCGGTGTAGTCATGGCTTTGTTTGTGCAGTCTCAATAGCTGAAATGCCTATCCAGTTTTATACAATACACGACGTGCATTATGTATCATTAACCCATGCGTTACTATAAAATTTTGAAATAGTAGCAAACTGTGTTTTTCATAGGATTCACAAATACACAGTCCTGGTACATTTTGCTGATGGTGCCATCTAAGGTTGCCAGACCATGTTTGCTGGACACACTCTACATGATTCTGCGGGCAGCACTTTTCATGTACTGCTTCGGATTGTTGGGCAGTTGTCTGTATTGACGAAAGATATAAACCTGCCATTTCTGGTGACACCTGGAAACATACAGAAATATCCAATACCCATTAACTGGACTAATGTTTGGGTTATTCGCCATTACCCCTCATTGGCATCACGTAGAGGAGACACAGCCTTATCGGAGTCAGTAATGGATTAGCTCTCTTCCATTGCCGGCTATTACCAGTCCAGTAGGTGTGCATATTCTACATATATTGTGATGTTAGCAAGAGAGAGAAGTAAACTGGAGCTAAGCAGACGCAGCCTGGACTGGGTGAAATGCGGCTGTTTAGCGAGTAAGTCGCTTCAGAGATAATGAGTGCTACAGGGACAGACTACACGCTCTTCAAATGAAAACTGTATTCCGCCTGGTGGACATCAAACAACCAATCAGAATCCAACAAGAATTCAAATCATGCTTACAAACAAACCAGGACATCCGCACAAGGCTCACAGTTAGCATCTGAGTGGCCCTTCCGGTGAGTTCAGAGGACATAAGCCTGTGTTTAAGGTCAAAGCCAGTTCCTGCTTTCCCACTACCTGTTAGTTTAACATTTCCTTTCTTGGTTTCGTGTGACTCAAGCCATTAAGTTATTTACTTAAGGCAAAGCCTTTAACAATGAAGAAGAGATAAGAATGGATTTATATAGGTGTTACTTACTACATCCCTGCGTGGCCAATGGATGGGTGGACTCAGCAATGAGTCTTATTCATCCAAATTGTGTTATTGTGTTTTGTCTTTTAAAATGTTTGTCACTGCCATACATCATAGGAAATAGCCAATATTTTATGTTCATTGATTTATTCATTTGAAACCATTACCTACATGTTCTGCTATAGTTTCTGGACCCCATGCTTTGGCCTGTACACCGTACCATATATATTTTACCGAGCTTCTTCTAAAACAAGCTAGAATCCAGAAAATCAGCAGGGGAGAGCAAACCTTCAGGAAGGGAGTTCTGGGACCGGATTCTGACACAAACTTCACTATATACCTTAATTAGTGATATCCCGAACGGTTTGCCGAACGGTTCGCCACAGACGGCGAACATATGCGCTGTTCGGTCCGCCCCCTATGTCATCATTGATTAAACTTTGACCCTGTACCTCACAGTCAGCAGACACATTTCAGCCAATCAGCAGCAGACCCTCCCTCCCAGACCCTCCCACCTCCTGGACAGCTCACTAAGAATGCAGCTTCACAATGAATATAAAATGGATGCTGTCCAGGAGGTGGGAGGGTCTGGGAGGGAGGGTCTGCTGCTGATTGGCTGGAATGTGTCTGCTGACTGTGAGGTACAGGGTCAAAGTTTAATCAATGATGACATAGGGGGCGGACCGAACAGCGCATATGTTCGCCATCTGTGGCGAACCATTCGGCGAACCGTTCGGCGAACCGTTCGGGACATCACTAACCTTAATAGATCCTATTAAAACGTTTATGTTCTTTGTATGTTTGTATGTTTATAATTAAAGTTTATTTAACAGCCTTTTCATATGACTTCATCAAAGCTCCTGCCTGATTCTCTGATTGGGTCTCACAATCATTATCATCAAATTCATTCATCGAGTAATCGGTGTATTATCCGTACAAACCTTTCTTACCTTTATTTCTATGCTCAAATAGTTGACTTGGTTGTAGCTCTAACTGATAAATAAATTAAAATAAATAAATAAAATGACACCTAGTACAATAAACAACATGTGTTCGTTAACATAGTCCATATGCTGTGAAGCTGATTGGCACAGCAGAAGGTAACATGGTATTTACAAATTATCTCACTGAAATTGTATGTTAGGAAACCACCAATAAGCCCTGGGAAAGCCTATAGACGTAAAAATAGTAGGTGGGTCTCTTCTAAATGATATCTATTCCTGCTCTAAAACATTTCATAATATATTTACTTGGTCCTGCGCAGAAACATTTCATATATATATACTGTATCCCGTGCAGCCAGCCTTTCCAGCAGTTACGAGATTAAATTGTTGCTGACTGAGAGAATTTCAATTTATTCATCCATTGTCTTATGTTATGTTGAAAGTCAATTCGAAAATGAATAGTAGAGATTGGATTCAAACAGGATTAACATAGGACAACGAAAACATATTTTGTTATTCAATAACCTCTTTGCCAGGCAGTGGAGACCAGTCCATAGGAGCAGATGTAGCGTCAACCCCTCCCAGTTATGAAGCAAATAAAAAAAACAAAAAAAAACAAATCTATTGGCAATGTTAGGATTACTGATAAGTGTGTGTTAGAAAAAACTTCTGTTTGCCATGATGATATCTGCAGTTTCCGTTCTCCCTTTTATTGATGACTGGAGATGCAGCTGGGTTTGAACAGGCCATGTTATCTCATGGGGTTAAGTGGGTAGAGCCCAACCAGTCAGGAATATAGGTTTCCTTTCATATGTCCCCCTTTTGCGTTTAAACCAAATAAAGTTAAATAAAATTTACTCACCCATTTTCCAGCACTGGGACTCCACCTTCGTAGCCCCCAGCTCCGCCTTCAAAGATGTCAACATGCCGGCTGATGTCTCCTCGATCTCCACTGATCCTCCAAGAGAAGCAATGGATTGGAGCTTGGCATGAGCAGAGAAACGCCACTCTCCTCCAATGAAATGTTACTAAAGGAAGCACCTCTAGTGGCATGAGGAAGACAGCCACTACGGGTTGATTTAACCCCGCAATATAATCATTGTGCTTCTACAAAACAGCAATGTTTTACACTGCAGAGTTAGAATTACACAAACCCAAGTCCAACGTGCAAGGGCACTCATTAACCCAGTGTGGACCCTGCAGAAAATGAACCCAGGGACACATCACAGGGCACCCCCGACATGATCTCAACCAGGCCACGTTCTATGAGAACACAGTGTGGACCCTGCAGGAAAATGAACCCAGTGACACATTGCAGGGCACTACCCACATGATCCCAACCAGGGCATGTTCAATGAGAACCCAGTGTGGACCCTGTAGGAAGATGAACCCAAGGACACATCGCAGGGCTCTCCCCACATGATCTCAACCAGGGCACGTTCAATGAGAACCCAGTGTGGACCCTGTAGGAAGATGAACCCAGGGACACATCGCAGGGCACTACCAACATGATCTCAACCAGGCCACGTTCTATGAGAACACAGTGTGGACAGGGACACATCGCAGGGCACTACCAACATGATCTCAACCAGGCCACGTTCCATGAGAACACAGTGTGGACCCTGCAGTGAACCCAGTGACACATTGCAGGGTACTACCCACATCGCAGGGCTCCCACACCAGGGCACGTTCATGAGAACCCAGGGACACATCGTATGGACCCTGCAGGAAGATGAACCCAGGGACACAGTCCCTGCAGGGCTACCTACATGATCTCAACCAGGGCACATCCTATGAGAACACCTCTAGTGGCATGAGGAAGACAGCCACTACGGGTTGATTTAACCCCGCAATATAATCATTGCGCTTCTACAAAACAGCAATGTTTTACACTGCAGAGTTAGAATTACACAAACCCAAGTCCAACGTGCGAGGGCACTCATTAACCCAGTGTGGACCCTGCAGAAAGATGAACCCAAGGACACATCGCAGGGCTCTCCCCACATGATCTCAACCAGGGCACGTTTTATGAGAACACAGTGTGGACCCTGCAGGAAGATGAACCCAGGGACACATCGCAGGGCACTACCAACATGATCTCAACCAGGCCACGTTCTATGAGAACACAGTGTGGACCCTGCAGGAAAATGAACCCAGTGACACATTGCAGGGCACTACCCACATGATCCCAACCAGGGCACGTTCAATGAGAACCCAGTGTGGACCCTGCAGGAAGATGAACCCAGTGACACATTGCAGGGCACTACCCACATGATCCCAACCAGGGCACGTTCAATGAGAACCCAGTGTGGACCCTGTAGGAAGATGAACCCAGGGACACATCGCAGGGCACTACCTACATGATCTCAACCAGGGCACATCCTATGAGAACACCTCTAGTGGCATGAGGAAGACAGCCACTACGGGTTGATTTAACCTCGCAATATAATCATTGCGCTTCTACAAAACAGCAATGTTTTACACTGCAGAGTTAGAATTACACAAACCCAAGTCCAACGTGCGAGGGCACTCATTAACCCAGTGTGGACCCTGCAGAAAGATGATTAATCACCACTGTATTAAAACTCAATGGAAACCACTGAGAAGTTAGGTCAAGTTTAATTTTTACATAGTAGAAATGCAAATAAAAATATAATCTTTTTATTTAGTATACACTTAGTATTGCCAACTTTTTTTAATTCTGGAAAAAAAATGGATGCTTGTAATATAGACTTTGAGCACATTATTTAACAATGAATGTGTATAAGTCAATCATTAAATCACTATTTTTTCAGTGAAAATCCTTGTTTACCCAAAATAACCACTTATTTGCAAAAACCATCTAAAAGGTAAAGCTTTGAAGTCACCCCAGAGTGCTCTTTGAAAGGCTGAATGCTTGCTCATGATTTTAGGATTCATGAACAAACACTTACTCTTGCCACCATGGTTTTGGGTCAGACAAGCTGAGTCTCTGATCAAAGAGGAGTAGAGAGGGTGAAGGAGGAAAGTAATGAAAAGGAGTATTTACTAATGTGTGAGAATAATGAAATTATACACACAGACTCTATAACGTATATATACACATTTATTTTATTCATAATATTGTAAAGCGCTGCGGAATCTGTTGGCGCTATTTAAATGGCAATAATAATAATAATAATTTTAAATAAAAATAATTATAGTTTTCCTTTAACCGGGGAACACCTGTATTGGTGCAATGGAAGCTCTTTAGACCGATGTTGGTGCGGAGCGTGGAGTTATCAGATATTTATCTACCGTAATTTATCGCAGAAAGGTCACATCACATCCTGGAAAGGATTGGCGAGAAATAAAATCACGTTTCATTGAACAAATTTGTTAAATGAATGGCTCAGGGCTTACTGCTCATTAAAAGCATAACCTCTTGTCGTAGCCAAGTTTTCAAAAGAAAGAAGAAAAAAAACGAAGGCTTTCCACTTGTAAATAGTTTTATTCCATAATTTCGCAGATTCTGCTGAATGTGTGCTGGGAGGTGTGAATGGGTTAATGAGTTCTGGGCCAGTGAGAGGTAAGACTCTCTCACAGGGCTGTACTACAATGCTATGCAGTAATTCCAGTGGAATGTAAAACAGCCAGAGGGCTCTCCAGTGCTCATGGGGAGCAGGGAGGGGTAGAAAAGAGTTCACACAGAAACGCACAGAAGTTTCACCTTATAAGGACAGAGCCAGGAAAGAGGAAGTTTGCGATTGGTCCGTGAGACGTGTTCAAACTGCACATTATTCACATTTTTTAAAAACAAAGGGCATAATCACTGCAGCACAGTTTAAAATCCACCTGTCAGAAATGCCATTGTCGACACTTTAAATATAACAATATTTCTTTTATACGTTGTATTCGCAAAATTGTTAGAAAAAGCCTTGATAAAACGAATTATCTGAAGTTATGAGAAGTTTTCTGCATAAATGCCCATTCTGTCTGCACAGATAAACTCCCTGCGAGGGTAACTGCGATGGCCTCCATAATGCAACGCACACAGCTGCAATAACTGCATGTTAGAACCGTGCATTAGGGAACACTATAGTACTGCAGTACATATTTATCTGCCAGACCCCACTCTCTGTGGAGATTAAAGGTTTTTAGATGTATCATTTCTCCACCACCGCAGCTGGCCCCACCTCCATGGCTGAAATTATCAGTCATGATGATCTTAGCCAATCCTACGCTTTTCCATAGGAAAGCATTGGGAGGCTATTGTGCATGTGTGACAAAATACTGCGCAAATTAAATGAATGCCTCTCTATGGAATGTTCATTGCCTCTGTACCAGACTAGGAAGCACGTTATGCACTGTGTGACAGACCATCTATTGTCCATCAACTGTCCAAGTGATCCTATGTTTGACAGCTTAGTGAACAGAAAGAAGGTAAAAATAGTGCTGTAGATCATATCTTCCAAGGCTGGAAAGTTCCATATTGGTGGGGATTGTGGGAGCTATAGATTAACAGCAAGCAGAGAGCCTCTGGCTTCATAAGGATTATGGGATTTGTAGTGCAATAGGTGTAGAGCTAAAATCAGCTATAGTTATAGTTTAATATCTGCTTAAGAGAGCCAAGCTAGCACTTTCTACGAGTCGACCATGCCTTAGTGGCAATCGATTAGACCAGGGATGGGTAACCTTTGGCACTCCAGATGTTGCAAACTAAATCTCCCATAATTCTCTCACAGCCATAATGCTGGCAATGCATCAGGGGAGATGTAGTCCACAGAATTGAAGGTTGCCTAACCTACACTCACACTATCAGAAAACACTGTCACCAGCAAACTTGACTTGCTGAATTCACGCTACACGTCACTCATGTTTCCTGTAATTGGTTTCATAATAAACTGAAACAGGCACCTACCGTGTCACTAGTACAACACTGCCATCCCACCTCCTGGAATCGTCATGCACATGGTAAAGACAAACATTAGCTTTCTCTTGTTTAAAAAAGGTGAGCTGTCTACACAGTGATTTTCCATACTGGTAGCTCTCTCTTGATATAGTTAAGGCAGGCATTGTTTACCCTGCCCCAGGATCAATTAATTTTGTCCTAATGTCTTATTATAAAATAGCAGGGAGGGGCTGCACAATGTCCAAAAGTGGGCAGCATTCGATAATCATGGCTGTACAAAAATTCTCACCTTGCACTGTATGTTACAAAAAAACAACTAAACAACTGATTGAGAATATTCTACAACCTTTTTCACGATCCTCCCACAAGCCTGCCTGAGAGTAATGGGAGTTGCCTCCCAAATATTTTCCCGTTAAACGATACATGGCAGAAGCTTTGTAGTGCAATGCAAATTAAAATGCCACTCAAAAGCTACGAGTCAATAATACGTGAATTTATTCTTAACAGGAAATTGTTACATTTGATTTATTTTATTTTGAATCCAGCACATCAATATTTGCAATACATATACAGTAATTATGCATCTCCTATTTCACTATATCTATTTGTCTTAAAATATTTGATTACTAAAACTGTAATCTGAGAGCACAGTTACTTTCTTAAAAGGCATAAACTGGGAATCTTTATTCAAATTAACTCTTCCCGTAACTCAACAGCTAAATAAAATTGTAATTGAACATGACTAATATTTGTAAATCTTCCAATATTTAATTTTCTCTCAAATTTATGAAGATTCAGCTTGTTAATCGATACATGATTATTTACTAAATTCTACATTTTTGCAAATTATTTCCACATTTCAAAACTAGAGCAGAGTTTCTGAATGTCTCCAAGTCAATCTTTTAGCCCAACATTTGCAATTCATATAGAGGACAATGGGAGATTAATTTGCATGAAATGCCCTGCTTGTGCCTTTCCAGGAGGAAGCTGTGATAAGTGCAGATTATTAATCAAATTTCATTTACATGCAGGGTGATTTGCATTCCATGATGCTCTAGAGCAGGCTTCCCCAAACTCCAGTCCTCCAGATGTTGCTGAACTACTACTCCCATGATTCTCAGCCTGTTTCATTCATAGAATCATGGGAGTTGTAGTTTAGCAACATCTGGAGGGCCGGAGTTTGGGGAAGCATGCTCTAGAATAGAGGAAACACCGCTGGTGGGTGCATTGTCCCTTTAAGAAGGGTACCTATACCACAGGTGGGTGGTCAGTTATTATTTAGATAGCGCCAGCAAATTCTGTAGCGCTGTTACTACTAAGGCTACTCTGGCCTTAAATTTGAAATTCACTTTGAATACTCACTTTAGTAAATACCTCTATAAGAATATTGTATAAACCTGGCAGGGCAGAGACTATAGAGGACACAATTGGGTAGCCGTCCTTTAATAAACATATTTGTTTGTGAAGCCTCCCTTTGTCCAGATGCTGGGAAATCTGCCGCTTAGCAGTTAGCCATCTGACATACTGTCTTGAGAACCATATCTTGTTTTTTTGTTAATTGCTGTTTCATGGTTTGCAGGAAAAAAAAAATCTGTTTATGTGTTCTCTTTTTAGAATGTGCAAATAGTGATTTTTAGTCAACATATGTATTATCTAAGCAATTGCGAAATCTAGTTCCCTGTCTTTGCATTTTCTCAAAGCAAATGCCCATAAATAGAAAGGTTTGTAGCATTAATAACGAATACAATACATTGCAGTCCAGTATTGTTTCACTGCAGGTTATCCAGCCCATACAGTCAAATCCTATCCGGTCATTATTTTAAAAGCACATAGGTTTCTTCATATGGACCAGCCACTCGGGGGGCCCACAAGGGCCAACATTTTACCCCCAGGACCATCATTCAAAAGGACAAAAATAATGAAGGGAAAAGAGGCAACAAAATCTTTTCATTAGGTCCCCAGCCTCCACAAAAATAAGGAAAAGAGATTGCAAGCTCTTTAAGAGGAAATGGCTATATATTTTATTTGTCTGAGATCCCAGCCACCAACCATGAGCTTGTCACCCACTGAGGCCATCATGAAATTGTTCATACGTGAAATTTATTTTTTTAACAATGAATTATCACACTTGATTTATTTTATTTTCCAGGACTTTAATAATTACTATGCAATACTTATTTCTGTACATGGATTTGTTTTCAAATAATTTGATTACTAAAACTATAGTCGTACAGCACAGTTGCTTTCTTAGAAGGCATAAACTGGGGAACCTTGGGTTCTCAGTTGGCAAAGAACAGTACATTTCAACTGTTGTTTACTTCATCAACTTCATCAAGGGGCCTTGGCAGAAACCAATTAAGATCCCACAGGACCCTAGCCAGGTTACCAGTTACTCCCCCCATTCATTCTTCACATAAGGATGGTTAAGTATGACAAGCAAATTCATGGTTCCGGGGCCCCTGTCCAACCTCTGTATCCTAGGCGGCTGCCTTGTGATTAATTCTGCTCTTGGCATGGGAGAAGCATGCCTGTGGGATATAGGAGATGGATGTTGCCCAATTATATTGTTCTCCTAATTGTAACCTGCAAACCACATCTTTTGAATTTAAAGCTTCACAGTGAATGCATAGTTTTTCCCTCTCAACATTCCACCAACACGCTCAATGCAAATAGTGCTTATAGTGACTAAAGCTTCTCAACCATCTGGTGGACCTCTCTTCTTACATAGTTGACCGTTTGTGGAACCTGTCCCCTCCAGGTGTTAGCCACTAATTCCCAAGATTATGTTAGAAACTCTGGAGAGAAAATGGGTGCAGACAAGCCGAACATCACCAATAACATTCAATGAGTTCAGATTTTGCTGAAAGACCCAGAATTGAGCCATTTTTACTTCCCCTTTCTTTAATGTGGAATGTTTGACAGCTCACAGTATTTGGATCCATCTCTCCACCAACACTGTGTGCATTTTGGGTTCCACCAAGATGCTTGAGCTTGGCTATAACCATATTTGTCATCATAATATCTCTACCCCACCTCTTGCCTTGGTACAATGATGCTAATGCAGACTTTCTTGCAAATCTTAAAGGACCACTATAGTGCCAGGAAAACATACTAGTTTTCCTGGCACTATAGTGCCCTGAGGGTGCCCCCACCCTCAGGGACCCCCTCCCGCCCGGCGCTGGAAGGGGGAAAGGGGTAAAAACTTACCTTTTTCCAGCGCTGGGCGGGGAACTCTCCTCCTCCGATCCTCCTCTGCTCCTCCCCGTCGGCTGAATGCGCACCCGCGGCAAGAGCTGCGCGCGCATTCAGCCGGTCACATAGGAAAGCATTCATAATGCTTTCCTATGGACGCTGGCGTGCTCTCACTGTGAAAATCACAGTGAGAAGCACGCAAGCGCCTCTAGTGGCTGTCAATGAGACAGCCACTAGAGGAAATAGGGGAAGGCTTAACCTATTCATAAACATAGCAGTTTCTCTGAAACTGCTATGTTTATGAAAAAATGGGTTAACCCTAGCTGGACCTGGCACCCAGACCACTTCATTAAGCTGAAGTGGTCTGGGTGCCTAGAGTGGTCCTTTAAGCTTAATCTAAGGGCAATAATGGAGATATTAATACACAAATAAAGATGTAAATAAACAGTATTTTATAATGAGAACTGATGTGGTAACTATATTCTATTATCTTAAATTACTCGCTGTCTATCATCATTAATGTTGCAACTAAAACCCATTATATATTATATACAAACTCCATTAAACATGATGTGAAATGGAATATTCTTTATATTATGCATATTATAAAACCAACGTCCAACTCCTGCTGTCTACAGGTGTAACTGCAGGGTTTCTGTACTAAAATGACCCCATGCTAGACAAAATACTTTCTACCTTCTAAAAATATCTCAAATAGAATCTTCTATTTAATTAAAGAATTACCCCACAATCATCGTCTCTTGCCCATCTGCAACTCTCGAATTCCTTAAAATGTTTGAGTTTTGCATTAACACTGGTAGGCTCCACCGAGGTTTAGGTGAACCGTTAAAATCCCCTTAACAGTTTACTCTGTCTCTACTTTATTAAACATGAATGTTCCTTCATTCTGCTTTGAACTAGAATTTCATCAGCAAAATAGTTTAATGAATCCTGGGCCCCTGTCAGCATCACTTCCAGCAAACTATGCCTTACTGATCGAAGACTAAAGCCTTGCTACAAACTGCCACTAGGTTCATTACTTCTTAATATGCAACAATTATAGCAGGAGCACTGTCTGCTACATTATTTGCCTTCTTGTTGTCCAAGATCATGCCCATTATGGTTTCTGAAATGTATTCATCCCACTGTAATACCCTCACCCCTCAATAGCCCGTCACACCCTACCCTATCTCCAATCCATATCTCATCATTCATTTCTATCTGTAGATTATTTGGACCATGCTGCAGTGTGTTTCTGTCATCATTTTATGTGCCCTAACAGCACAGCATCCTATGACCAATGGCCGTGATAACGCCTTTTTATAAATGTAATTACGACGAGTACCTACTAGGACTGGCTGCGTTTAAATCAAGACCTCATTTCTAAGTTAGTTCCCTTTTTAGCCATTTCCTGCTCGCTGTTTCCGACCTGACATTATCTGGCCTTCTTCTTTCTCTCTTCCTGCCCAGTAATTCCAAAAACACTTTCACTTCTATTTTGATGCAAAGTAACGCTACAATAACAGTTATTCCCTTTCTGATCTTACTTTATTTGGACTGAGAAGAAAAACCTCCCAAAATACAGACCAACGGAAAAAACTATCAAACAAAAGAATTTGTTTTGAAGTATCCGTCAGCTTCTGGAAGGTCGAAGATTGCAGTCTCCCGAGGCGTGGCAACCTTATTTTTACTGATGCCTGTGATTTTGTGTTACTCAGTCTGTAAATGGATTGGGGTTCTCTAATTTTGATGACACTGAATATTAGGTCACAGTGATAGGTGTCACACTGCAGCTCAGGCAGCAACGCAGAATTAAACATACTTACTGCTAACACAGAAGGGTGAGGTGCTATGAAAACACAGAGTTGGAATGACCGTTCTGTCGCGGTGTGATCTAATAATTGGTCACCACGTTGATTTAGTTTACATTTCGTGATACAGTGAGTGGAAATGTCATTATATGATACTTTGAATGACAGCATGGGGAGAGGACAAGCTGTTTTAAGGCTGTAAGGAGTAACAGGTTATATACATCAGTGATTGTTTTCAGTGATATGTGAGGACGGTGGAGGCAGGCACCTAACAATGGCATTTACTGAATCCTTGCTATGTCTCTTTAATGACACCTGCAGCACCAAGGCACATAGAGGTGACCTCCCAAACCATGTCACCCTGTGCTACAGCTCCTTATAAGGAAACTTACCTAACCGAGCAGTGAACAAGCAGCCAGTCTCAACCCTTCCTTGGAGAGATCAGATAAAGATACTATGTAACACTGATAAACAAAGTCATATAAAGGATCACTTCTCTTTACAACTCTTTAAAGTATTTCCTAAAACAATGTAAGCTGCGGCTTATCTTTACGTGTATCCCCATGTCACCATAAATGTAAATATTATTTGAAGCAGGTCGGGCACGCCCCGGTACTGTGCGACTGGCAAATGACTCCAGTTAGAGCCTGAATACAAAGGATGGAAACACATGAAGGCAGGACGTGGAGGGCAGCAAGTTACATTCAAAGTACATCAGATGTGAACGTTTACGCAGCCAGTTCAGTTTGCAGAACTGACACTAGGACTAGCTGAGCGTGCCAAATTAGCAATCCTCACATCCTCTTCTGCCCCAGCAGCAGCCCAGCTGGACCGACCTTTAAATAATTGATGGTGACATGTGGATATAGGAATCAGGAAGTGATATTAACTGTGCTTTGTGAACTGGATATCTCATTGGGTGCCCCAATCCCCAATCCGCATCCCCCCCCATCATCTAATTCTGTTACGAGGAAACAGGAAGTCAGTAACAGGAAGTTAAAGTTCTGCTTTACCTCCAGGCAATAAAAATCATGGCAGTATGGAAAGCTATTTTTAAACTATGTTAGGAATTAAATGCACATTAGGTCTGGCTTTTGTAGCCAGAATGTTTGGTTTTATTTTTTTAAAGAAACTTAAAAAAAATTAAAAAATTTAAATTGAGTAAACTTCCAATTAACATTAGACATATATAGATAGATGGAGCTGCAAAGTGATGGCCTGATCAAGGGATCAAGTTAGTAAATTATAAAACGATGAAAATAAAATATAAGATAAGTGTGTAAATAGCACTGTGAGAGGTGTAGATGGAAGTCAATCCTCTGCTGATTGATGGAAGCTGTTGGGTAAAAGACCATTGTATTGGAATAACAGTGATGGGTCCCTAGTTTAACTGAGAAAGATTAATGAAACACGCCTTAACCAGAGCGACAAAACGTAGACCCCAGCTGCTGCAGTACCTCAACTCCCATGGTGCTTTGCCAGTTTTACGGCTGTTCCATTGTAACTGTTAATGGAAAGTTAAGCCAGACTCGGAGTTTAGTGTTTAGGCTTTAGATGTTTGGTATCATCCGCTGGGAATTAACCAGAGTGAGGAGATTCTAGAACATGGGGGGCAGGAGCCAAAACAATGACTAATGGTCATTGCCACCAGACACGTTTAAAAATTCCGCAGCATCTCACTTACGATGGTATAGGTATGACTGTAATGAGTCAGTGAGAAAAACGTATGGATTTTTATCCAAATAACAATCTGTGCTGAATTGGCAGCTGCATCGTCCATTACAATACAATGGGGATTTCATTAAACTCACCAATTTTGACAGACATTTTGCAAATTTACCCGACTCACTGGTTAGTAAATAAACCTGCTAAGATACAATTCTAGTCATACCTATACACAATGGGTTAAAAAAAAAGAAGGAAGTTTGCTGGAAAATGGGGAAAAAAAGAAAGAAAATCACACAAAAAATGTCAGTGCCCCATACAAGGACAAGAAAGGATTTATAGTCTTACAGTGAATATCAGCCGCGTCAACAAAACTGTCCGAGCGAACAAGATTTAAGGCAAAGCCTTAACAAGCTGGTCAACATGGCACGAGATAGGGGACTATCCCATGTTTCTAAACCAAGACATACTCTATGTTCAGTTGCAGTTACCATCTAAAATGTGTTTTAGCACTGAAAGAGAACAGGTGTGTTTTAGCAAGGAAAGCTATGTTGTGAAATTGCTAGGCCATGGAGATTGCCAGAGGATATGATAAAACGTTCACAGATCTAGGTCTGACAAATACCTGTGAGGTCAGTAATGTAATCTAATGTATATAATCTATATGCTGTGTTTACAAAGTCTTCACGAAACATATCAATAAAATGTTACATTGCACAGATGCTTCCTTTTGGAATATGCGAGGAATGATCCCAATATGGGCTAATTCCCAGAAAGCCATGTGCATCGCACATACATACCACACAAGAAATAAAAACCTTCAAAATCATAAAAAGATACTTGCCTATTATTATTTATATAGCACCAACAAACTCTGTGCGCTGTACAAATGGCAGACTAACAGACAAGTAGTTGCAACAAGACAAGCTGAACATAGGGGAACAGAATGTAAGGGCCTTACTATAACCAGATTATATTTTAAAATTGATTTTTAAGGGCAAATCCTCAGGATCTGCTCATTTTACGGTGAGGTGTGTTGCTACCAGGATGTGGCTGGCTCTCTCAGCCATTCCCAGTCCTTCAACAGTTTTCAAAAGCTCTGGTGTTTAGAGTGGCTTTTTAAACCACGGAAGCAGAGAGCCTCCAGAAATAATTCCTAGCCCGTACCGGCCGGCTGCACTCTGGCCTTTATCTTTGTTTGGCAATCACACAGAAAGGGCAGTTAATTTGGAATATGCTCTAATTTGGGCATGCATTGGTTATGTCCACATTTGGCTGCCTAACATAGTAATAAAGATCAGCAGATCCTTGTTGGGAGTCAGTGTGTGGTCGCAGGATTTTCAAATTCCTCTGGAATTCAGAAGCTGAAATGTTTCTGAGCAAATAGAGTAAGGGCCCATACTTCCCTGGACATGAGACGGAGAGCAGGAGGAGGAAACAGGATGGAGGGTAGGTGGGGGACGTTACCTAATGACAGAGCATAGAGCCCACTGTAAAAGCCTGTAATGTATGCCCTCTGGGGAGCCTTGGCTCACATCAGCTCTGACCAGCTGCCAAAGTCTGTGCTAATGGGTTAAATGGGATTGAGAAGCTGAGAGTAAGGCTCAGAGCAGTAATGAAAAGAGAAGACCCATCTGTCCCCCAGTTATAAACAGGGGGAGGGAGGGGTGGGTGACAATTAACCCGCTCTGGGCATTAAACTCCTTGATTATCCTGCATCTACTTAGGTACAACAGCACTCATTCACCATCAATATCCTGAGTCTCAGGAGCATTGCTAAAACAGTGTGCTGACTAGGAGAACAGAGATTGTACTGTTCAAAGTCCACACACAGCTTTTATTATGGAGACAAGTCCCCATTTCACTTGTACGATGCTCAGAATGAAACGATGTCGCCCCAGAGGGCCATCCAGCAGAACTGTAATACTGTCACCGTGCAGAGCCGAGCATTCATGGATTGGAAGGCCGCCATTCAACTGAAAAGGGACGCGTCCCGTCAACATAAAAAGAATCGCAGGTTTAGCACAATTTTCTAAAACTACAACTAATCTAACACTTTGCATTCTCGAGCAGGCATAAGCAACCAGGCTATGCCCTTAGATACTTGTCCATTGTACGCTTTTTACAGCCTGCAATATACGTACGTGTTTGATAATGCCTTACGTCACACGTAAAGAAAATTAGAAAATATTGATCGAATCTCTCAATAGGAAAGCTATCACTGGATTTCAATGATGTCACTATTGGCGCCATTAGCAGGTTCTGTAGGAAAACGTAAGTCAATAGGTAGATCCATAACTGCTGCAGAGCTATAACTGTCATGTTGTAAGGATGATGGGAATCATTGTCCCAGAAAAGTTTGGGATCTTCTTTCTGGCCACCCCTGCCCTTTTGACCTGCATGTCAATGTAGAGAGTGAATTACAATACTAAATAAATAAAAAGTCACCAGTATTCCTGTTACACAGTTACTACAAAAACAAATTCTCTCTCAGAATGAACATTATTTCAAGGTAAATGTTCTCTTTTTTCGAAGTCTTAGGTTTTTTTTCATTAACAGCACATTAGGAGGAATTCACAAGCGACTTGTAACATTTAGGACAAAATAACACAGCTGGCAAAATCGAAACGTCATGCTCACTTGTTAAATTTTATAACCTGGTTGCCAATAGTCAGAGGTTTTTTGAATAAAGCACTGAGCGTCTGTTTGACTGGTGTTAGAGCACAGGAAGGAGAGCTGCTCCGTATTAGTGTACTGCACTACCACTTGGACTCCACATTCATTTCATTTCACCCGTCTCACACAAAATACATGTTTCTCCACCCCACTGTTACAGGAACTGCGGCTCTAATTAGATGCTAGTGCGATTCATCGTCTGTCCGAGTCACTGTATTAGCAGTTGCGCTGTATGTTTGCAGTCTTACGCTCCAGAGGCGGCTGCATACAAAACGAGTAAATGTCAGACAGACCTTGCTCTATGCTGCAGCTGCTGTCCGTCTCCCTGCAGCTGTGATGAGTGAAGCATTTTATAATCTATAAAAGATTTAGCACAGCTAGCAGCTTTGGTTTCAGCAAGGGCAATGGATCCGTACAAACCAGATAAAGGTCGGAGCGGTAAAGGGGAGAATTGGTCAGGTGCCTCCAAGCAGGCCCTCTACCAGGTGCAGGATGCATTTCCTCGGTTTATTAAGGTCATTTGCTATTGTGAAAAGCTCAGAACTGAGATGATCTCTTTCCTACAAATAAGTCTCATTGTTTTTGTAGGACTACAGATCGCTCTAGCTGTGCCCTTCAAATGCTACTTTCCACCTGGCTAGATGTCTGTTGAAGCTTGAAGAAGAAAATGATTACTCGTTGAATTCATGCTTGAGAAAACCGGTGGCCAAACTCATGGCTTTGTCCCCGCTGGAATAATGCCACGCCAGGTCATTTATCGCCAGACTTTACAGAATATACAGTGACAATTCATATTGACATTTTCAGTGTCGGTGTGCTATGCTGTGATTTGTGAGAACTTTGCATAATTTAGGCCACAGAAGAGAGACTTGAGAAAAGAAATTTGGTACTCTGCAGAATTGGCCATTGATTCTGGCTTGGCTATTTAGGCCTTCAATTTGCAACTCTATTGTCAAACAAATGGATACATTGTTTAAACACGCTACAAGAAGGTTTTAATGAAAACTAAGAATTATTTGCACACTCAAATCCATTAAAGGTTGGGACAAAAACAAGCTCACAAACACCAAAACGCACAAAGGACAACTTCTCTGTTAACCCTTTCATCAACAGAGCTGAAAAAGTTCTATGCAATCTTTTCTTCTTTGCCGAATGGGTCAGGATAGATAGATAGATAGATAGAATATATACATAGATAGATACTGTATAGATAGATAGATAGATAGATACTGGATAGATAGATAGATAGATAGATAGATACTGTATAGATAGATAGATACAGGATAGATAGATAGATATATTCAGTATAGAGATAGATAGATAGATAGATAGATAGATAGATAGATTGATAGATAGATACTGTATAGATAGATAGTTAGATACTGTATGGATAGATAGATAGTTAGATAGATAGATAGATACTGTATAGATAGATAGATAGAAAAGGGCGTCGCTGTAGCTGACTCAGTAACAGACTACTAGTGCCATATACAGTCCTTAAGACTCAGTGACTGATTCATTAAGCTCTGTAACCTTTTTCGTGCAATTTCCTGCTTAAGGGAGGTGGGGGCTGGTAAAAGCATAGAAAATGGGAAGGATCTAGCAGTGTGCACGGTCTACAAAGACTGAGCCATAAAAGCAGAAACTGCAATGAACCTTGAGAGGTGAAAGGGAGAGAGGCCAGTGTACAGATGGGTCCTTAGTACTCCGTTCTATAGACTGGTCACGCCTATTCCATCTCAAAGAGGAAACATGGCTTCTTGATCCCTCCGCTAGGAAACACACTGATTTGCAGAACAAAGATTCCCGTGTGTATATAACATGCTACATTATTGTTACCTTCTACTGAAAGGAAATTGGGGGCCAATTGAGAGTATTCATTGCTGCTCTCCAGGAGTTTCAGGGGCTTAGAGCAACTGTTTGCAAAGCCAAGGCCACTGAGGCCTACTGCCACCTACTTCATATTGAGGTTTAACCCCTTAAGGAACAAACTTCTGGAATAAAAGGGAATCATGACATTTCACATATGTCATGTGTCCTTAAGGGGTTAATGTGGCTGCAAAGCAGCTGAGTAAAGGTTTCTTTAACTCACTGCCTGTTAATTGTCTCATTAGTAGAAGGAGGCGGTACCCATGTGCCCCCTGGCCCAGGTTTCCCAATATGTACTCAGAATCTGATCCACTGCAAAACCACTAGTGGAATAAAAATCCCATAATAAAAGAACCCTGACCAGGGGTGACAAAATCTGAAATATATATCAGTTCTTCCTACACACCAAGGGCGAAATATCTTCTATTGCAATTAGCACGCTAACATTTTCTAGTTACTTAAATGAGGGCTGTCAAGCTTATACCATTTATACAGCACTGTGTTCGATAGTCACATTGGAAGGGTCAGACACCCTAAAATTCACTCCAAGCGAAGAATTAGATGTTTAATTGTCCAAACAGATGTTAATATGCCAGGGTTGCACAGTAATGATGGGTACAAAGTCTCTGCTGACCCCTATGGGTCATAAAATGGAAGTGCTTTCACACAGCAGCTTTCTTGAACAAGCTGGACCTATCACTGAAGATGAGGCCATGGTTGAGGAAGTTAAAAACACCAACTGCTCTGTTACAAACAAGTTTCAAAATGTGGAAGTGTATCCTCTTGCAACATGTCGCTGGCCTCAGCGTGGTCAAATAAATGAAATCATCTACGTCAGCCCCTTTTGGTTGAGCCTTCCAACGGGAGAAAACCCAAAAGGTAATTATGACGACTACGAAAAGATAAAGGAAATTTGCAGAAAAAAAATAAAAACAAGGACGGATTTTTAAGGTGCTCAGATGATGATTAATTATAAAAGAAGGTTCATTCGAGAAAAGTGCACTGGAAAATGTAGTTTGAGGAGGAGGTTGTGTCCGATGACCAGACGCAGTTTTTACATCGTAACAAGGATATTCAGATGTGTCCTTCTGTCTGGGAAAATACATCTCAGTGGACAGAATGCTAGCTCCAGTGCCAAGCAGCACAAGGTCTAACTCCATGGTGAGACAGCTCCCCCTGCTGGTAACAACTGACGCCAACACCTTCCTGGTTTAAATCTGCATCTTGCACCCAACAAGATACTCTACCGCTCAGCACCAAAAAAATAAATCCCCAAATAATCTAAAAAAACAATAGAATAGCTTTTGATCTGTCTATTGCGAAGGTCGGTGGAGCCTTGCAGGATTTCTCTAACAATAGCCAAGTGTAAGATCAGATCCCCTCCAGTTTAACCGTTGTGATGCTGGTGGAAGGGCAGGATGCTAGTTTGTAGTTGCTGTCCGTATGATTAGCACATGGGCAGGAAGCGCATGACTCCTGTGGATTATTCTGTAACACCATGTGGTTTTCCTCTCTTGTGCAGCCAGTAATCTCTGCTTGTGCTGTCGCCTGTGATAATTGGAGCTGTCACAGAACAAAGAGCTTCCTTTCCTTTTGGGAGTACTGCATGCCGTGTAAGCTCTGAACACTACAAGTCCCTCTTATTTATTTTTTAAGGCACTGGGCAATGGTCCTCTCTTGAAATTCATGCTGGCAAAATATTGCTCTCTAGAGCACGGCTGCCCTCTAGTGGAAGTTAAATGGTATAAAAGAACTCTCAAATATCTGCTCCAAGGCTGATGCAAAATAGAAGGAATTAAAAGATAACGCAATATTCATTATTATAATTTTTTTTATTTTTGTGCATCTGTATCATGACTGGACTAATATGGCTACTCAAACCGTTTGCGAATTGTGTATTTTTACATCCCCAACATATTTAACAAAACCATTCCAAATGCAGGAAAAATGCTACACATTAAATAACACGTTTAAAATCTTTTATTAATTAGTAGTGGGGCTTTCAATCACAAACCAACTCAATAGATTGTCTACACTTGCACTGGGATGTTAACAGCTCCTATTCTGCCAAGACATTAATATTTTGCATATTTCCGTTTATTATTCTTGATAAGTACATACAGGATTTAATTCTAAATCAGTGATATTCTCTTCTACATGAAACTTGTGCACTAGGGCTTTTTCAACTGCGACAAACAAACTACCTTCTAATCTGTGGCCGAACTAATCAATCTATCTGGGATTTACCTGTGGAGTCTTATTCATTAATAAATCAACTCTAGTCTTCACCTCTTGGTTCTATCGCCATTATTTTCTTTGTCAATCTCCTGCTATTTTATACCCAGATTGTAAAATTGGAAAGTGACGAGGAATACAATACGTGATATATAAATGATGATACCAATAATAAAAGATAAACAAGTGTATGATTGTAATTATCGATTATTCCTATTTCAGCGACTGCGTGTTAGCATTTGGCCCTTTAGATTGTAATCTCACCTCACCAGAGCGTTCACCACCTCATGTCAAACCTGTCCTACTGGAATGATTTAGTATGTTTCATTCACTCATTGTACAGCACTGAGGACTGCAATTAAAAACACAAACATAACAAATGATATGTTTATTTAAAACAGGAAAATATTATCGTGGTGTATTTAGAATGTATACAGGAGTGGCACAGTCAAATCCTTGTTAGAAGTGTGATGTAGCTTTTGCATCAGCCCATGTCTGGATGATATAATATACCTGCTGTCAATGCAAAAATAAAGAATAAAAAAAATAAAAAATAAAGAATTCTTGTTAGAAGAAGAATTGTTGGAATTTCAAAGTGAATTTAAAATGCCTGCAAACATAGCTACCTTGGAAATAGTTTTCAATTCAACTATTTTGGCCTAAACATTTGAATTTTTGTATTTGAATGAATAACCCTGCTGGAGGGACAATTCTAGATCAAACTCAATGGATGGAGCAGTGGAACCGAATAGCCACCAATGACTGTTTCTACAGAGCAGCACTGATGTGATATGGCACTGGGAGAGGGGTTAAAGATTTGATCTGATCAGATCGTTGTCTTGTTTTTATCCGCTATATATGTGTCTATGTGTTTGTCAAGGGTCTGCCTTCTGTCTCCCTATGCTGTAGCTGTAAAGGGGTTAAGTTAGTCATGGCTAAACAGACTGCATGTGATATCCGAAGTTTAAGGCTTACTAAACAGGGATTTACCAGGTTAGCAGATCCTCACGCCACACAGTAATAGCCCTCAAGCACAACACATTGAATGTTTTCCATAGGATTCCATGGCTGAAATCTTTAGTTGTCAGCTGGTATTTTAAATGGTCACCATGGTTTCTTAGTCGGTAGCACTGAATACCAAACCTCTGAGAAATGTCATTGTCAACAGTTTTTCTGCCAACACAACTTTTCTCCCTCCCCCCAGCGTTTGTCAATATCCCTACAAGAAAACAATTGGATAATCTCTGAATTCTTAACTGCTGGTGGTCCATGATGGCTGCTTTGACCTGCACAATGTGATACACACTGGGTGGGCTCAGCTATTGTAATAGTAAGCTCTAGATTTATGTACGTTTGTTGTAGTTTTATGCTGTCTTTTGTCCTGTCTATTCGATCTGATCCACACAGAGAGCAATTTTAGTATATCTACACCAGGATCGTGCTCACCTCCTCTTATTCGACATTCTCTATAGTTTACATTAAGGTGTTCCCCCCCACCCCGAGAAAAAAACCATCTAAACTTAACTTAAAAAATGACGTACAAAATACAACGTTTTGGCACTCATCCAGGTGTATTCAGAGGTAGTTATTTTTAAAAACATGACAAACTAACCCAGGAGTGCCCATATTATTATTATTTATATAGCGCCAACAAATTCCATAGCGCTGTACAATGGGTGGACTAACAGACACATAATTGAGATCAGACTACTGGACGTACAGGAACAAAGGGGGTTGAGGGCCCTGCTCAATGAGCTTACATGCTAGAGGGAGTGGGGTATATTGACACAAATGGTTAAAGTAGGGGAATTACATAGTTTGTTACAGAAGGGTTTATTGAGTGCTTGGTAGGCCATTTTTGACAGTTGCAGGAAAGGAGTCATGGGGCGGGGGATGAGAAACCTGCTGACAGTAAAGACCTAAACAGAGATCAGGGAGGATAATTTGGCTCTATATTGGGATAGATAAATTATTATGAGTTGATAAGATTGTAAGCTCGTTTGAAAAGTGTCCTCATCAACCTATTATTCTAACATTTTGTAATGGTCTCATTTAAATTGTCATCATTGTTAAATTTCCCCCGTTATGATATTATAAAGGGCTGCAGAATAGGTTGGCGCTATATGAATACCAATAATAATAATAATTTGTATATTAACCATTTCTTTTTATTAAACATGTATCAGAAAGCTTTGTGTCCGTTTGTTCTCTGTTCTCTAAAGTTCTTTCAGTTTGGTGGAAAGCCGTTTCTAATGTCTCATTTTGTACCTGTGTTTGAAGATTTCTATTTCCTTTATGGTTTGTCTGTTCACGTTTATACAAATACGAGTTTCTAATAAAACACAATCCCACGCAGAATTGTGGATGGGAAGAGTGGCTGGCCGCAGAGAGCCTCACATTACCACAAGCCGGGAGGGTGACTCCTGGGAGAAGGCTGATGGTTCCAGCTGCCTCTATCGATAAGCAGGCAACCTCTGGGATATACTGCATGCTGGGTGCTTCAATCTGCAGGACGTATGGACTCTGCTTGATGGCCTGATACCTAGCTCAGTATGGGTTAAATGCAGCATGTTTTGTAATAGAGTGCTGTGTGTTTGTATCTCTCATCTGGCTGAAATCCAATTAGGTTATCCCTGCAGGGCGGCTGTCGAGACCCAGATCTGTCAGCTTAGAGAGGCCAATTGGACCATGCAGCCCGGGAGAGCGGCCTCTGTGGGACATGTAGGCAACAGAGTGTCAAATGCTAACCGACAGAACCACAGCCGCCTCCCAATACCGCAATACTCGGCGGGATGTGGGGCAGCCCCATACTCCCACTCGCTCTCTGAATACAATTCCATTGTAAGCATCTCCTTTAGAATACAATTCCTAAATTCAATCCACCTCTCCCTGCTGAGTAACAACAAATACCTGAGGCCGCACTTAATGCAGTTATCCACTGCTCCCAAAACCCACCGGCGCCTCTTTTAACAAGACCTCTGCTTTTTAATCCTTGCTCCTTTCATTGTTTATTCTAGTGCACTCCAAAAGACATCTCTCAGAGTAGTTCTGCCTTTTTGGGCTGTTGCGAGATGCAAAACCTCTTAATGAGCAGACACAAGAGCCCTCCACTTACAAAACTTATCGTTATGCTCCTTGGACTTTAGAAATCCTAGCATTTATAGGGCGAACAGCTCATAAGAAGCCCACTCTATGTTTCTTCTCAATTATTTCCAAAGCTTGTGAAAAAAAATAACTGGGAATTAGTATGCATGTCCACCCACTAATACCCAACCATACATGTAGACGATGAAAAGAACTACAATCATTTCTTATTAATTAGATATTGAGTGTGGTGCTGTGCATTTTTTCTCTCCTAAAGAATAGATGTGATAAGTGGCAGCGGCTACAATAAAGCTCAGTTCTCCAATTACATTTCCTATCTTCAAAGTCCATCGCCAACATACAATACTCCTTCTAAGCAACCATCTCACTTCCTAGCATCGAGCCGATTCCTCACCAATTCTAGTTACATTCTGTATTTACATTACTAAAGTAATGATTGAGGTGGGAGCAGCTATCTTTCTGTGATAGCACTCAGAACAATGTAAAGAAATGTTTAACAACATTTAACACGGTCTAGAACTTTCTGACCCTTTACAGAAAAAAATTCTCACGTCTGAGATAAGGGAATATCTAGAGCCAACACATTAAATATACTCGATTAATTCAATCTGAATCTATATTGCTTAGAATATAGAAATACAGGTTTGTTTTTGCCAACACTAAACTGCGGCATCTTGACTGCTCTTTAAAAACTCACAATTACATTTAAAGAAAAAAAAAAAACACACACACATTTGTCCTATATCTGAAATTTGCCTACCACATATTTCGGATAATTTATAGTTTAGGAAACATCGGGCACTGCCCCAATGATCATCAGACAAAAATAATTTGCATGAAATGCACTGCTGTTTGCAGTTGCGAGCAAATTTTAAGGCCTGTGTGTGTGTGTGTGTATATATATATATTTGTAGTCGGGGCAATATAGCGAACAGAGAAATCTTAGCACAATACAATCATAACATCTATGAGTAGGCACCAGTCGGTTGTGGTGTGCCGGAACCGACAGAGCAGTAGGCCTGTAATAAAAGTGGGCCCACCTTAGAAGGTGTTATAAGTAGAGGGAGCGGTGGGAGGGGTGACTCGCCAGACGAGCAACGGTAAGGTGGGAGTGAATTGGCAGCCCTTTTAAAGGTGAAGCAAGCCCCTCCCACAACTCCAGGTCAAGCCTTCAAATTTGTAGTCGGGGCAATATAGCCGAACAGAGAAATCCTAGCACAATACAATCATAACATCTATGAGTAGGCACCAGTCGGTTGTGGTGTGCCGGAACCGACAGAGCAGTAGGCCTGTAATAAAAGTGGGCAAAAGAAAATAACCAGAAAACATAATTCGTGAACCAACTTCGTTTATTGAAATAAGTCACAAAAAGCTTGTCTTAATTCTTTAACAGGATTGGGTATGTAGAGTGTGTAGGCGGAGGATTTCCATCGCCCCATTGCCTTAATAATATGAGCGGGGACGTGGTTAGCGGATGCGGAAGATGCTGCTCCTATACGGAAAGTGACCTGAAAATTGATTTGGGTTTAGGCCGAGCTTGGTCAACAGAAGTCTTATGTACAGCATGAATTTAGCTGTGGTCAGAGTGTGTCCATGCAGTTCAAACAAAGGCTGTTGAGGTTGTTTTTGGACTGAAAGTGAATAGGTGTCTAACACTTTAACTGGGCACCATATATTGTGAGTAGGGTACAGGGGTATCTGAATACTGTGTCCGTCGGTGCTGGTTTTGGATTGTCTTAGAGAGAGAATATAATGGTCGGTATGTTTCTGTAGATCATTGGTTCTAAGGTAGTCAGGTGCGTTGATGGTTGTGGTTGTGAATTCGCTAGGCCGGAGGAACCCGTAAAAAGCAAGATATAGTTCTGTTTTGATAGTGCTATTTGTCATGGGTTCGAAAGGAGACAAATCTAATAGGTTGGATAGAGAGTGGAAGATGTGGTCTATAGGTAGTCTTTGTGAGGGAACATGTGTATCTAATTTTCTAATGCCTTTAAGTAATGTTTTAATTTGGTATGAGGTTAGAAAAGCAGTACTGTTAGGTTGTTGGAGGCCGGTAAGGTACAGTTTAATAGTATTGAGGGATAGTTTAAGGTTAATGTGGCAAAAAGAGGTAAACCCCAAAATCGTCTCTAATGCAAACATGTTGTGAACGTGAAACGCGATGATAAATTTTTTGAATACGTGAAAGGCCCTATCATAAGTGTCCCTAGTGTTTTCTGAGAGTGCCATATGAGAAATGTGACGTGCGTGATCTAACAAGGTCTTTAATCCATGATCATGTCTTGGAAAAGAGGTGCAGGTGTCGCTCGTCTGGAAGCGTTGGGTAGTGACGAGAGGAAAGCCTGGAAACGAAACCGAGACAAGTGATCAGCAGTGGTGTTTGTGTAACCCGGGATGTGTATGCATGTTATAAAGAATTGACAAGTGGCTGCTACCAGGCCCGGACTGGCCATCGGGCATACCGGGCAAATGCCCGGTGGGCTGCGATGGCCGTGGGGCCGAGGCCGGCAGGGGATCTCCCCTGCCAGCCCGTGCAGGGCCAGCGCTATCCGAGCAACGGCCCCGCTTTGTGCCTCCATGGGCGGGTGGGGAGATCAAAGATTTCCCGCACCGGCCCAGAGGCAGGGAGATGCGGCCGCCAGCTGGGGAGGGAGGGAGGCAGGAGAGAGGACCAGCGGAGCTCTACCCAGCAGCTCCGCCCGGTCCTCTCGCGGGATACCGCGGCAACGCTCAGATCTCGCGAGAGTGAACTCTAGCCTGCAGGTTAGAGTTCACTCTCACCACTGGACCACCAGGGAAGCATGACAGCATCCCCCCCCCCATGGCAACACGGCTCCCCCCTCCCAGGTTAAAGGTAAGAAGGGGGGGGGATATAACTTTTTTTAAAATTATTATTAATAAAAAAAATATATATTTAAAATAATTTCCCTAACAGCCCCCCCAGACACACACAGCCCCCCAGAGACACACACAGCGCACCCCCAGACACACAAAGCACCCCACAGACACAAACAGCACCCCCAGACACACACAGCACCCCCAGACGCACACAGCAACCCCAGACGCACACAGCAACCCCAGACGCACACAACACCCCCAGACGCACACAACACCCTCAGACAGACAGCACCCTCACTCCCACACATATACAGCACATATATATTATATAAAATAACCCTCAGTGAGTTAACAGA